GGACCGTGGCGGGAAAGGGCGAAAAAAAACGTAACGGAGACTGGCAGAGGCGCTCAGAAAACTACGTGCATCCCGGACTTTGGCCGCCGATAATTACGGGAGAGCGTCGTTGATCTGCTCAGGCGCTGGGAAAACTACGTGCATCCCGGACTTTAGGCCTCGAGAAACCACGGGAGACCATCGACGGGCTGGTCAGTGGATCAGGGACGGCCGAAGAGGAAGCCACGAGCCCGCCCGCCCGGCCTCGCTCGAGCTTGGCTCGAGCTCGAGCGATCCTAGCCTGCCTAGCCTCCTGCCTGATCCGCCGCTCGTCGACGGCAGCACCCTCGGGTCCAGCTACACGTGTACACGCAGGCCGCCGCAGGGTCTATCCGCTGCAGATGGGCCAGGCTCGGAGGCCGGGGCTCAACGTCGATGGGGCACCACGCCGCTGAGCCAGCCAGGCCTGGCCTGGCCTGGCCTGGCCTGGCCTGGAGATAAGCAGCCGCCACCCAAAAAAATTACGGGAGACCGTCTACCCCTATCCGCTGCCCTGGCCTCGCCCGACCGCGTCGCGCGTCTCCCTCCCGTGATTTTGGAGCGACGCGGGAGACTGCTCCCCTGCCGCTTTCTCGTTGGCGTCGACCCGTCGACCCAAATTCAGGAGACTGCTCTCCTGCCGCCCTCTCAATCGGGTCGACGGGTCGACTCGTCGACTCTAATTCGGGAGACTGCTCTCCTGCCGCCCTCTAATCGGGTCGACGGGTCGACACGAATTCCAGCCGTCGACCCTAATTCTCCAGACTGCTCTCTTGCCGCCCTCTCGATGGCATCGACCCGTCGACTCCAAACCGAGCCGTCGACCCTAATTCTCCAGACTGCTCTCCTGCCGCCCCTCGATGGCGTCGATCCGTCGACCACAACTCGAGCCGTCGACTCTAATTCGGAAGACCGCTCTCTTGCCGCCCCCCTCAATCGGGTCGACCCGTCGACCCCAACTCGAGCCGTCGACTCTAATTCTCGAGACTGCTCTTCTGCCGCCCCTCGATGGCGTCGACGGTCGTCGACCCGTCGACCCTAATTGAGACCGTCGCTCCGAATTTGGTCGACCGTCCTGGCCCCTCGCCCCGTCTCCGACCTCCTCCCCCCCGATCCAGACCAGGCGCCCAGCCGTATCTCCGTCGTCCGTCCGCCGGGCCAGTACCGGCGCTGCCGTAGCTCCGAGGGTATCTCCGTGTTGCCATAGCTCCGAGGGCACCGCTTCGATAGGCAGGCGCTCCTGGCCGTCGCGTCCTCACGTCGCGTCTCTCCTCTTTCCAAAACGCAGAAAAAAAAACGCGACGACCACGCCCGTCGAGCCAGCGCGCGGCAGGCACCGAGCTGGTCCAGGACCCCTGACACGCCACACCTTCCATATCTCTCCTTCTGATGGTAGCACTCCGATACCCGATCGGGGCGGCAAGAAAAAAAATCCCGCCGAGATTCAAGCTCCCGTCCGCACACGCATGCATTCATCGACCGCGGCAAGGAGTCAGTCGAGCCACGGCCATGGGTCAGACCACCCTTCGCCTTGGTCGTGATCAGACCGGCGGGCTGCCGGCTCAGTGGCGGCAGAAGAGGACGGGATCGCCTCGGTGGCGATCTCGACGCTGAAGGACGCCTGGTCTAGCCACAGCCCGTCGGCTGCAGGGACGGCGAGCTGGGACATGCATGCCTCCGGCCTCCATGGGCTCCCAAGTCGCTGCAGAGGCAGACGTCGAGGAGCAAGGCCGGGTGCCCAGTCGTGCAGTAAACTCTACGGCGGCGTCTCTGGGGACCAGCGCTCGGCCTCTCCGACCCTCAGAGTGAGCGAAGCCGGCGAGCACGCCTCTGGCCGGCCTGTCCCCGAGCCTGGCCTAGCTTAGCCTAGCCTGCCGGCCTTTTGCACACGCCGAGATCAGCACGCTAGCTGTGCCTTGCACGATGCAAGGAGGACGTAGGCCGGTCCGTACCAGCCTGCAGCCTCGTCGCTCGCTCTGGTCGCTCTTCTGCTTGCTCGCCCGCCGGCGTCGGGATTGCGCTGCCTCCCTCCTTCGGGATCGCGTAGCCGTATCGAAAAGAGGCCGGTAGCTGGACGCCGACAGGCCAGGCCCTGGTTGCGTCTGCCAGCCAGGCAGCTACGGTACGGTGGAGCTGTGTTGGCCGTCGTGCGTGAAAGCAGAGACAGGCAGGCAGGCCAGGGCTGCGGTGCATGCACGCGTGCAGCGAAAGCTGGACGCTGGCAAGACGTACGCATATGGCGAGGGGGGGAGGCTGGAGGGGGACGAGGCGAGGAAAAAGTCGCCGTGGGTAGGCAAGGCCTGCCTGGCGTCGGGCCAGCAAAGCGAGTCTAGGGCCCCGAAGCTTTGCGTTAGTCGACAGTTTCCGCTGGACCCTGACGCGTGCCCGCGTGCGTGTCTTCAGCCCGAGCCCAGGAAAATCCAGAGACGCCAAAAATGCGTTTCGCGAAACGCGTCGAGCGATGCCCCCCCCAGTCAGCCGCTCCACACCCACGAGCTGGAGCCAGGGCCAGTTGCCCAGCCTTCAGCCCTCTTGCCGGTCCTGTACGCGACGTGGCGGCGCCCACCTCTTCGAATTATTGACCGCACGCCGTTCGCGCTCGAACGGCGTCTTCCAGCCATGCCGCCAGCCAGCCAGCCAGCAGCCTCTGCAGAGGTGACGCGAGGACGGCCCGGCCGCCCGCCTAGCCTAGCCTGCCTCTTCTTGCGTATGCTTACACCTGCAAGGCCGCCAGCAGTACTAGCAGGCAGGCCCACAAAGGGGAGGGCCGCGCTCGGGCCTGGTGCTGGCCAAGTTGTTGGTCGCAGCTGCTGCCGGGGCTGCACCCAACCTGCAGCTTGGTCGAATCTCGCCGACTCTCCGTCGCTGCGGCGTCGGCCCGGAAGCAGAGGAGCAGCAGCGCTCCGGCCTTGCTTGGCGTGCGTGGGCCTAGCCAGCTGGGCTGAGGTGCCGTGGTGGGCCAGCCTGCCCGCCTGGTCCGATACGTACGGTGGTCGACCCCCCGCACCCTGCTTCGCATCCGTAGCGCACCAACCGGCTCGCTCGACCGGCCAGCAGCAGCGCCGTGTGCATGCGTGCGTGCGTATGGCCGCTGCGAGGCTAGGCCGGCCTGCCTGCTTGCCCCACCTAGTACGTGCTCCTCGCTGTCGGGGCATAAGCAACAGGCCAGGCCAGGCGAGTGCCTTCTGGATGCACGCACGCGCGCAGAGCCTCGTCCGTCTCTCGGAACCGACGGCAGGTGGGAGCTTCGGCCAGAATCGCCCTCAGCCCCCGCATCTCTTCCGGCTCCTCCTCGACTCTGCTCCTCGATCTTCTCCACGCCATACCTGCCTCTGAGCTCCCGAGCTGTGCCACCACACCGACATGCTACGAACAGCCCTCCTTGACGATCTGGCCCGCGGCACTCGACCTCCTCCACCCTCGACACTCGTCCGCCTCGATCCTCCTCGGCATCGCGGCTCTGATCGGGGCTCGTACGCCTTCGGCCTTCGCCATCATCGGGTGGCTGCTCCATCGAGCGGCTTCGGTCGACTCTACTCTGCAGCCTCGCTATTTATCATCGCACTCGGAGTCCTTCATCATGCTCGGGCGCACACCTCGCCATCGACCGTCCAACGACTCGTATGGCCTCAAATCCCGTGTCGTCTGCTTGATTCGTCCCGCTCGCTCCCATCGTCGGCTTCTGCACGACAGTCTCTGTCCCTTCGACGCCCTGATCGCACGACCACCGTTGCTCTCCCGTCAGGCCGCCACCCCCTCACCGACACTGTCGACGTCGCCAACGTATCGGCTAGCGCCGTTCTCGCCTATTCGTCGTCGTCGTGGCGGCTCCGCCATCGTCGTATACGCTATGCCGCATCGGTCCCGACCATGTTCGCCCTCTCGAAACCGTCGTCATGGTACGACTTCGCCGCCATGCCTCAGCACGCCGCCAATGCCTCAGGACGCCGCCATCGTCGAGCAGTCAACCCGAGCAGCGCCGCAGTCACCATCGACCTGGCCATACAGTGCCTGCTTCCGAGGGCAGCGCTGCACAAATTGGGAGCAGCGAGTCGACGCAGGCTTCAGCGAAAGCCGCGACAGGACGACGGTGAGTATCAGTGAGCACGCACACAGGACCGAAGCAGCCCTGGGCGGACCCATGAACGAGTGCTGACCTCGTACATGGCGGCGGGCCGATGCCTGCCGGCTCTTGACGATGGAGGCAGACCTCTGCCCTTCGCAGAGTTGACCCGGGCTCGACCGAGCAAAAGCTTCGACCCTGCTGCCTTCATATCTACATCAGCATCTGCCAGGAACCTCGCGACATCTCCTCCCTGGGTCGACAGTCACGAGCGTCGAGCCGACGCACGGTTCAACGTACGGCTGCGACCCCTCCGTTGCGCCTGATGACGCTGCCCGTGTCAGGGCTCAGACGTGCCCTACTGCCCTTCGCCAACAAGGCCGAGCCTGGCACGCCTTTGATTACGCCGGATGACGTTTCGGCGCCAGCGACACCCTGGTGAGCACGCATCCGACCAAAGCAGAAAGAACGAATCGGGTAAGGCGACGGGGGATGCGGACATCGCTGATGCCGCTGTCAAGCCTCGCGCGACAACCTCTCGGAGAAAATGAACGCAGATGGCAAGCGATGCATTGAGCGAAGCGACAAGCACAACGCAACGGCGGACCCGACGACGGGATCAAGGGTTGGGATGGGCAGAACCGCGAGCATCACCGAATCGGTGGCTATCATGACGCGGCACGGATGAGAAGGAAAATGACGGCAAAAATTAAAAGGAAAAGCGGTCGAGCACCGTCGGGCAATCTGCTGCGGCACCTTATTCAGCCATCCGACCGACCCGACGATGCTATCGTGCTATCAAGAGTCGGGATCATGACCGCTGCTTGCGCTCCCGATGTCGCCCGTAGCCGGGCGTGGGGCAAACGCGATGGGGACCGCGGGCGGCTTTCGCGACACGAGGACTTCGTTGACGTGGACCTGCCCGACAAAGACCATGAGCCCGTTTGGGAAGCGGGGAATGGCAAAGGCGGTGTAGCTGCGGACGGTGAAGATGTCGCGGCCGGCGAGCGCGGCGCGGACGACGAGGTCGTGGAAGAACATGATGGTGTGGGTTGGCGTGTCGACGTTTCGAAACAGCCACAGGTTGAGGTCCCCGCCCCTCGTACGGCGGCTGACGGTTCGCACGACCCGCGCCTTATGCTCGTAGTCCAGCCACCCGGCAGGAGGTGGATCGAAGCGGATGAGCCGATGCAGGTTCCTTTGCGTGAACTCGTCTGGCGCAACGTGCGGCCGAAGCCGTTCCAGCACTTGAGTCTGGAGGTCGTCAAAGAGGACCGGGTCGCCGAATTTGGCTTCGCCCGCCGCCCTTCGGATCATGTCAGGTGGCAGCCAGGTCGGGACAGTGAGCGGTGGCATCGCAGCCGGCGGCGAGGCTGGATCGCGGGTCGAGGTCGACGCGGCATTGTAAGCGGGCTGCTGCCAGCTCGGCGTGGCTTCGGGGTGTGTGAAGCTCGGAGCGCCGGTGCCACCTACCAACACTCGACCAGACGTGCTCCTGTGACGAGACCGCGAGCCGACCACGACCGAAGCAGTACCAGCGTGCGAGCTGCCATGGCCCGCGGCAAGAGGATGGGTCAGAGGGTCAGGAACAGCGACAAAGCTGGAAGACGCCTGCTCCTCCGCCCGTTCTCCAGCGTCAGGAAGGACTTGGCCGGCGATGAGATCCTCGAATGAGGCGTAGTAGCGCATGAGGTCATGTCCCAGCCACCCGCCGGGGCGCTGCGGAGGAGGCGTTGCCCAGACGGCGAGCGAGAGAAGCCCAGCGACGAGCGGCAGCAGCACCGCTGTCGAGGAGCGGAGGGCACGCATCGCGCTGATCTTCGGTGAGGCGCAAAGGGCTGGGATTGGCTGCAATGGGCGTGTCGGAAAGGACTAGATCGGGCTGCGATGCAGCCTTGAGAGGGTGTTGGATGCCGAGATGCTGGACAAAGAAGGGGATGGTGGTAAGGAGCAGCGAAGCAGGGCGGTCGAGCTGCTCGATCGAGAAGGCGAACGAGCTAGTCTGCCCTCGCTCAGGCCTTGGGAGGACGCCCCGGAGCTTTGCACGAGGGCCTCGGTCCATCGGCAGCCCAGCCGGACAGAGGGATGCGTATCCGAGAGCGGACGGGGCGCTACTCCGGAAAGACACCGGCAGATGAAGGACAAAGGAACAGCTTCGATGCCTTGCACGCCTGGAAGCTCGCCGCATGGGTGAGAAGCCGACGAGCCGGTGATATCGAGCCAATGAGGACTGTGGGAGAGGTCGGAAGCGCACCTCCGCCGCACGATGCCTCGCAGGAAGGGAGATCACGTCAACTGCTTCAAGATACGGCGGGAAGAGCGGTGTAGGGAACAGGAGAAGTTATGAGTGCTAAGCAGATGCCGAGCCGTCTCGCTTTCGGCACCGTTACAGATAAGCGCAGGCGTGAGCATGGGAGAGAGACAGCGACTAGGGATGGCAAGCGTCGAGGGTCCCTATATTTCAAGAGGGGCCGATGTAGAAAGGGATAGATGTCCGTCTCGCGACGGCTATGAGAGATGCAGAGGCGGATCTGGGCGGTCAAGGTTTCTGCGGCAGATGTCGTGCGAGGGCACAAGGATGGCGGCTCATGTCGTCGGTTCGTCCGAGGGGCGTCAGACAGGGCCGTTCAGGCTGCCGCAGCGCTGCTGGGAGACTCTCGGCCAAAAAGATGCCATGTCGGACCGACCACGGAAACGTCGCTCGAGGGCGAGTCTTGCCCTGCGATCAGCTTCGAACAGCCCACGTGCTTGTGCCAGGAACGGCCTCAATCCGGCCTCTGGGTTCTTGCTTGCCTGACACGACCTCATTGACGTGAACCTGGCCGACGAAAACCATGTTGTGGGTGGATCGACGGGGAATAGCGAAGGCGGTAAAGGTGCGGATGTGGGCAAGCTGGTGCTCCTGCAGAAAGGCGCGCAGCACCAGGTCGCGGAAGAAGATAACGGTGTGCGTGGGCGTCTCGAGGTTGCGGAAGAGCCAGACGTCCTGCTCCTTGCGCCTCACACGCGGTGCCACACGCCGGCGCACCGCGAGAACGACGCGGGACCTGTGATCAAAGTCCGTCCAGCCGGTTGGGGCGTTGCCGAAACTGATGAGGCTGCTCAGACGCCGCGAGTTGAAGTCCTCCGACGTCACGTACGGGCGCAGTCGCTCCTTGAGCCCGGTCTGGACGGCCTCGAAGAGCACCGAGTCTCCAAACGCGGGATGGAGCGCGGCTCGGCGGATCAGGTGGGCGGGGATCCAGGTGTCGACGGTTAGGGGCTGCTCATCGTCCTGATGCGAGGTCGGGTCATGGTCGTGTGCCGTTGTCGATGACACTTCGTCCGGCGGCGGCGAGGACGGCATCGTTTGCGAGTGGGCCGATCTCGCTCCCTCGGGGCCCTCGACATCGGCGCTCCAAGGGGCAGGTGTGCCGTGGAAGTACGAGTGGTCTGCTGCTTGTCCGTAGTCTGGGTGAGCGCGCTGGTAGTGCGAAGGGCCTACATCAGCTTGCGAGTAGGCATGATTCATCGGGTGGTAGGCCGACAGACCAAGGGCATCGTTCGTAGGGGCGTAGGCATCGAATCGGTGGTACGACGGGTCGACAGCAGGCTGCCAGTGGCCGTAGCCTGCGGGAGGCTGATGCGAGAGCGGCACAGCGGCAGCGGCTTGGGAGGCGCTCGACTGTGCTGTCGGCTGCTGGAAGTCAGAGAGCAGGGGAAGGTCGGCAATGTCTCCGAGGTCGTCATAGTAGCCAACAAGGTCGTGCTCGGCGTTTGCCCATCCTCGATTCGGAAACGGCGGCGGCGCCTCGGCGGGAAGCGCAAAAAGCCCGCCGACAACGGCAAGCAGGAGTACGATCGACGGTTGCGGGAGGCGCATCGTGCCCGTCGTTGACGAGTTGACCAGGCGGGAGAAGAGGGGGGAGAGAGGAAGGAGAGGGGTGAAGATCAGAAGAGAAACGAGGGGAAGGGAAGTGAAGTGACGAGAGGACGTAGAGAGGCGAGTAGAAGAAGCAGGACCAGAAGAACAACTAGAACGAGGAGAGGTATGATGGCAGAAAAAGGAAGGGAAGAGGTCGAGGTGGGACACGATCGAGTTGCCCCGCTCGTTGCCACGGCCTTGTCGAGATGCTGGGAAGACGCCCCGGACGACGAGGCAGATGAAGGCATCAGCCCGTAGCGGGAAGATCGATCCCCGAATGCGGACGTGGGACGGGGCCCGGGGCGTCTCCGGTGGGCCTCGGACACTCCTCCTCGGAGGCATCAGATATGAAATACGAAGACAGACCGAGACTGTAGTCAGGCCGCTGGAAGCACGAAGGAGTGGGGTGGGGCATGATGTGCTCAATGAGCTCAAGCGGAGAGAACGACAATGTCGTGCGAAAGCAGGACGTACACACAGCAGCGCCGCCGAGGAGGCGTCAGCGGGCGATTCAACAGCAGCGAGGCAAGTCACGAACAAAGGTTGCGATTGAAAGCAGACGGCGAGACGGGCGGTAGAGGAAGGGCACAGCAAAAGAGAAGGGCAGCGGACGCTGCACGCGGAGAGGTGACGGAGGCTTTGGGCTTGGGCGGGCAGAGTTGCTCTTCAAGTGACTGTAAGCGAGCATCACGAGCCCCGTATCTTGCGCAGGCACAAGTCTTTGCGATCTGAAGACCTGTTCGAGTCGCTACGGCGCCATATCGAAGAAAGCCCGGCTCGAGCGCTTTGTCGCGAAGACACGATGCCGGTCGAGTGAAAGCCTTCGAACCTCGTTACTGAGAAAGAAGCGGCCATGGCATGGAGGGACCGGTCTCGTGCGCCTCATCGCCTTGCAGAACTTCCATCTCATCGGCCTCGTCCGCTGAAAACGGCGAGGGCGGCGGCGGCGGAGGCGGCGAGGGGGGCCACGCCATACCCGCTTGCAGCCTCTCGCTCGACGTCCAAAGGAGCTTCGGTCCCCGTGCACCGCCCGCTTCTACAAATGCCTGCGCTGCCAGGTCCCAACGAAGCACGGCCAGCTCGCTCAGCACGGTGAACTGGCCGAGAAAGACGGGCTGGAGGCGTTCGTCGTCGATGTTGGGGAGAGCGACGGCCGAGTAAATCGACCGAGGGCCCTGGAGCACTCCAACCGGTCTCTGGGTATCGTAAGGGTTGAGCAACGTGCGGTATGAGGCGAAGATGACCCGGTAGTCTGGCATGCTGATGTCGCGAAACAGCCAGGGCATAACGCGGGAGGACCGAGAGCCCCTCGAGACGTAGATGACGTGGTCGCGGAATGCTCGAGTGCGCGCAGTTGGCGGAGGGATGAAGTGGATCTGGTGCTGGATGTCGTGCACCGGTAGGCCGCGCAGTTCGACCAACAGAACTGCCCGCTCTCGCAGCTCGTCCATTGTGGCAGCAGCCATGCCCGAATTGCCGCCGCAGTAGATGCGACCATATCGCCTGTGAGGTGCTCGCTGCTCTCGGCCTCTGACCTGCTCGGCGTTTTGCTGTTGCTGAGCCAAATCTTGCAAACCGCTCCAGCGCCTTGACGCTCCGTGCGAGAGGCGAGTGTTGGCTTCTCCCTCGGCGGCTGTGGCAGCGGTGCCTTCGGCGGGGGCCGTGCCTCCTTCCGGTACTTGTTGGATCAGACGAGATCGAGAGGAAGGGAGCGCCGGATCTCCCGCAGCCGACGGATGCTGCAGGCTAGGACGGTCGTCACGTGGCGACCAGATAAGGCTGTCGGCCACCGAGGTCCATGTGTTGCGAGGAGCGCTGATGCTGCTCAGACGAGGCAGCTCGGTGATGCTATCGAGGTTGCTGAAGATGTCGCCGGCTTCTTCTGAAACGTCTCTGGGAGTCTGCGCGAAGGCCGTCCTCGACAGTAGGCGAAGTGCGAGAGCGAGGTAGAGCGCAGGGCTCTTCATGTTGTGTTGCTTTCAAGCGTGCAGCGGGGCGATGTTGAGGCTTGCACTGGCACCGCACCGAGATAGAGCAGAGCGGGGCAAACAGGAAGGTCGAGAGAGCAGAATGGCCAAGGGAGAGTGGCGACTCGACGTCGACTCGATGCTCTTATACGACCTGTGATGAGCAAGATTGCTGTTGACCAGCACCGCTGATCGCAAGCGATAGCGACGGCAGGCGTGGAAAGATGACCGGCATGCGTGGCGGGACGTTCCGGGGCGCAGGAGGCGGGGCGCTCTGGCGTGATTGGACGGAACGCAAGCCGACGATATGGACGAGGCAGTGCAGCGGCGAGCTCGAGATCCACGATTCGCCAAAGGCGATGCAAAAGGGCTTGCACGGCCCGAGTTGTTGAGCGGCGCCCTACGAGACGGATCAGCGACCGCTGACTCCTCTGCGGTCTATTTTGACCGATGGCATATGCCGGATCAGGGGCCGGGTCAGGTGGAGAGCGGCGCGAAAGAGGATATCTAGCACAATAGAAGAGACGAAGAGACGAGGGAAAGAGGCTAATGCGCCGATCTATGGACGTTGGCGACGTTGCTAGCCCCCTGTCTGCACATGTTGGACAGCGAGCCGCCGGAGCTAGTAGGCTCTGTCCTCGTCGAGAACAGGTAGGGGCTGACGGCCGGTCAGACTGATGAGACCCTCGGGCTTGTCCAAGGCGGTGAGGTCCCAGGGGACGACGACTTCGCCGAGCAGGTACTTTAGTCCCCCCGTACCTCCGGTGGGAAGGGCAACAGCTCTGTAGGCGAGCACATCGGACCTGTCGGCTCTCTCGTATGCGCGCGAGCGGATGCGATCGTGGATGAAGACCACCGTATAGCCGTCCAGCGGGATGTCCTGAAGGAGCCAGGGCATGGTGCGACCAAACCTCGGTCGGCTGACCGAGTCCACGACGCGCTTGTGGAAGTTGCCGTTGGGTGGGGATGCAGGAGCGTGGTCGAAGCGCAGGACGGTGCCAATGGACGCCGTGCGAGAGCTTGGAGCCAGGTAGTGATGCAGCCTTGCGAGAAGCTCGCGGTGGACGAGCTCGTACATGGCCTCGTTGCCGTACCGCCACACGTCCGGACGAGGTACGAAACGCGGCTTTTCTCGCCCTGACCGAACTCGGCGCGGGCGGTATTGAGAGAGGTTGTCGGCGTCTACCTGGCCCGCTCCATCGGCCTGATGCGGCTCAAGATAGGTCCGACGGTAGCTTCGAGGAAGCGATGTGACGATAACGGACGGACTGGATGACGGGTTGTCGAGATCGACCAAGAATGCGGCAGCGGGCCGCTGGTCGGTGTCGGTAATGCGTCCGTGAGACTCGTGTGTGGCGGCTTCTGGGACGAAGATGTCTGCATGCCTGGAGTGCTCGACGTCGGAAAGGCGGGGCAGGCTGACGATGTTGTCGAGGCCCTCCGTGAAGGTGGCGAAGTCGTCCGTCGTCGCCGCCGGGTGCAGGTCCATGGCGGTAACGAGCCAGAGCAAGAGGGGCAGCGCTGCCAGCCACCGGCCCACTCGTTGAGCGACTGTCGTCCGCATCTGGCCGTTCAGCTGCGAGGATGCTGCTCTCGGCGGCGTCTATCGGATGGGTGCCTCAAGCTGCGCTGAGATGGTATGGGTTGGGCCGAGCCTCGAAGCTGCAGGGAAGATGCCGACATGGTAGGAAGGGAAGCTGGTGGCGAGGACACCGGTCGAGACGAGGAGAGAAGACAAAGGGGAAAAAAGGCGGCGCCGCCCCTTTTCCCTCACCTCATCTGCGGGTCGCCGTTTCGGGGCGCAGAGGCACCGACAATTGAACTTCGCCCCTCGTCTCCTTTCATCATCATCACCACCCTTCCTTTGTACTGGCGATGCACACAGCGCCGGCGAGCAACTCAATCGGCGCTTCGCAGCGGCACGAAAGCCGCCGACAAGGCTCAAGACGGCACAGTGGCCCGTCCCCCTCCAGTCACGGCTATGCGAGGCAGTGTCGCCGATCGAGCCAGAGAGCGGGCCGGCAAGCCCACTCAGCAAAGTGCCGAGCGCAAGTAGAGGTGCTATGAGATGCCGGCGTCGACGAGGTGAGAACAGCGACACGAGGCCTTCGCTCACGCCCCTTTGCCGGTCGCTGACCATGCCGGCTGGCCGGCCAATGCCTGAATATCAGCCGTACGACCTCGTTTCCACCAGGAAACAGTCGTTCGGACGCCAAGGAGGCAGCAGCGACCGGCTGGTTGTCCGCCGCTCGCCGTCCCACGCCGTCTCCGAGGGCTTCTCGGTACGCGTCGCAGGCCCTGCAGTGCCTGTCCCTTGTCGTCGCCGCCGTCGCCGGTCGTCCGTCTGTGGCTTCCAAGGCAAACGGCAAAGGCGAGAGGTCGGTGGGCGTCAGCGGTGAGAAGCGAACTGCAGAGAGTCGAGTGGGCCCACTCTCGAGGGTTGGGGCTCTTCAAGCAACCTCACCCGCCCGCCAGCATCGCACCGAGGTGGCCCAAGGCTTTATTCAGCCATCCTCTCCGTCGCCCCGTGACAAAAGCCCCGCCACCGGCTGCTCTATGCTAATCTCGTTCCGTGCGAGCCGGTAGGGGCGAGGAGGGCGGAGCCATCACTGGAGGGCCTGGCGATCGTCAGCCCACCCTGACCTCCTAGCCTCGCCCCTTTCTCGGGCATCCGTCTCCTAGAAATCGCCCTGCCTCGGCATCGAGCCGCACTCATTCTTGTCCATGCAAGCCCCCGTCATGCGTCAAACGAGCGACAAAAGCAAGCTACGGCGGGCGTCATACCCGCTGTTGCTCTCGCTGATGTTGATTGGCCACCTCCTGCACGGCGGTGCCGCCGTCAATCTGCCATCCCTGTCTTGGCTCAGCGGTCGAATCCATCGAGCCGGCCAGCTGGTACCAGAACAGCAGCTCGGGCAAGTTATCAATGTCGACACATCTCTCCGGCTTGCACCCAGCGGCCTGCCTCGCGAACCTATCTCCTTCGAGCGTAGTCAGGGAGTCGACGGGCTCCCTCGGTCCGCAACAAGCCTCTTCCGTCCGCCCACCGCTGTGCTTCGCATCGACGGCGGCCCTACATCGCTCCTACAAGCGTCGGTCTCGCCTCCGCACGAGTCTGCGGATGTCGGGCGCTACGGACAAGGTCGCCTGAATCGAGACGACTACTCCCTTCAGCCACAGCAGCAGCGATCGCCGACTTCTTATCAGTCCGAGCAAGGGCGCTCCGACAGCGAGCCGGCCGGGTTGCATGATGCCGCGCAGTCTCATCTGCAGCCGTCCACTTCCAGCGAGATCGCCCTGGGCAAGCCTCTTCCCGTGTCGGCATCCGAAAGACTTACGCGCCTACTGGTAGGAGCGACGCCGCAGGACGCCGATGCCGAGCTGCAGGCCCACGAACACCCATCGGCAAGGCGGGGAAGGCCGAGGGCGCTTAGCGCATGGGACTACGGGAACGCAGACGTCTTTGAGCGGGTAAAGTACGAGATCCTCGAGCGGTTGCAGGCCTACATGAAGCAAGGTTCCGACATGACCGCTGCTGTCGGGCGCCTGATCGACTTTGCGCCGACGTACGCTGAGCCAGAAGATCCCAGGGAGCTGAGGCGCATCTACGACCTGCCCAAACACGCACTCAGCGACATCAACAGAGCGATACTGTTCAAAGACATCGACACGCCGTCGCACCGAGTCTACTTCCGCGAGAACAAGAAGCGCTCCAACGACCTCTCGACTGACGCTCGCAAAGTCAGCGTCTTTTCCGCCGTCGCCCTTCCTTGGCCCCGAGACTCTTCGCAGCGCGTGACGTTCCTCGGGGAGATCGTTGTGCTACGAAGGCTGGCGTTCACTCGGAAGAATCTGCCCAAGCGGCCGTTTGCCGTCAGCAAGATCTCGACGGGGCCACTTTTTGGTCGAGCACCGCTCGCTCGCAGCTAGAGCCATAGTTCTGGCACAATTGACGGGCCAATCGGCGAGTCTTAGCATCGGCCGCGGTGCTCAGTCGACCAAGCTGCCGCCGAGCACGATGCGACGCCGGGTCCGTGACGGCCGACTGATCGCTCGACGCAGGCCTTCGTGCTTCAAGCTGGGCTTGTACGTCGCGTCATCCGTCCTTTCATTGCTTCACCGCAGACCTATCATTCTCGACTGTTCTCGAGTTCCAGTCTAGTATGCCGCTCGCTTTTGATCTTTGCCGGTGTCTCCTTTCCGTTCAGGCCGGCCGTCAACCCGCTGTCCCCTCACGATGCCGTTGTGCCAGCTCGCACCGTCGCGACCATCTCTGGGCCTTAATCTGCTTCGACGTTCTCTCACTTCTCTGCCCGAGTCGAATCTTGCTCTCACCTTGATCCTTGCCACGCTCGATCCCTCGTCACGCTCTTTCGCCGCCGGTTCGGGCGCCTGCCCGCCTGCTCTACCCGTTGCGCCAGCAAAGAAGCGGGCACACGAGATCCTCGCCGCGAGCCGCTGATCTAGACCAGCAAGCTTGCCGGTTCAAGGCGAGGTACACGGGCCAGCTCGCTCATCGCCCTTCTTCAGCGAGCGAGAATCGACGCACGATTTGCGTGTGTGTGCGTTCGACCCACTTTGCTGTCCCGCGGAAAGCAAGCCGAGGTGGTCGCACGAAGCCTTCATAATTGACTCACTCGTCACGCCCCGATGCTGTAGGTCGCCACCGTGCCAGCATGCAACGCCCATGTTGGTCCCGCTCGGCGTCCTCGAGGGAGGAACGGTTGTGAAGGCGGGTCGATGGTCGATCCGCTCCCGTCTATTTTCCTTGTTTCTTTCTCCTTACCTCTCTTCCTCGTCGCTGTCTGTCCTCAACTCGCCACGTCTTGCCCTCTACCGCGTACCGTACCGGCTACAAAGCACGACAATGTTGCCCACCTTTGTCCGGCGCGGGCATCGACGCCCGATGCTCCTGTCGCTCCTTTCGCTGCTGGCGGTGCTCGCCCTGCTTCTGCCCACCAGCAGCGCGATGGAGCCACCTCCGCCTTCGTGGTTCGGCAGCGGTCCTGCCGAGTTCGGCGAGTACCTTGGACGACAGTTCGGCGACCACGTCGGTCCTGCTCCTCCCGCCGATGCGTCGGCCGACGTCGATACGGCCCTCAAGCTCGCCGTCGAACCGTCCTCCTACCATCTGGCGTACCCCAACCCTTACCGCGTCGACACTTCCCTCAGGATCGGTCGTGGCCCTTCGTCGTCGCGCCAAGGCGCAGGCCCGGGACGCTTCGACAGCGACAGCCTGCGCTATCCGCTCTCAACCGAGGGACCTTCGCACCAGCTCGACGACGCCGATCTTTACCACGACCCTGTCCATCCATCGCGCTGGCGGCTCGCCCATCCTTTGCACCCCGATCCGCCTCACGGCCCGCAGCAATACCGCCAGGACAGCCCCGCCTCCGTCGACGAAGCCGTCGCGCTGCCTATCCGCTCTCCGGAGTTGGTGCGCAGCTCGGAGTCAGAAAACGGAGGCGATCCCGCCTCCGCGCAAGGGATGGAGGAGCCTTCGGACCAGTTGTCGTGGACGGCCGAGCACGGCCCTGAAGGGACCGTCCGCCTCAGCGGCGAGACTCGGAGCGCTCGTCTGCGGGCCCGCCCTGCCAGGTTCGTGAGTCCAGAAGCGATCCCCATGGACGGCAGGGCCGGCTGGGTATGGGGTAATCCCGACCTCTTCGCCGAGGCGCAGACCGAAGTCATTGAGCGACTCGCCGACCATCTCGAGCCGGGAAGCGACCCCAAAGCGGCGCTCGGCACCTTGATCGACTTCAAGCCCATGATCGGTCGTCCCAACATGCGGCAGTACGTGCGCATCCGCAAGTCCCCGAGCCACCGCACGGGCGACCGGAACAAGGCGGTGCTCTTCAAGGACATCATGACGCCGAACTATCGGATCTACTTTCAGGAAGACATCGAGCGATCGCACGAGCTCTGGAAGCACGGCCGCGCGATCAAGGTTTTCTCGATCATCGCGGTGCCCTGGTCTCGGGACTCGTCTCATCCCAAAACGCTCGTCGGCGAGGTCGCCGTGCTCCCCGAGCTCGCCTTCAAGCGCGGCAGCATGCCCAAGAAGCCGTTCAAGCTCGTCGAGGATCCTCGTGGACCGTTGTTTGGCTGAGGAGCTTCTCCGGTTCGCCGTCGATGCAGCCGTGGACCTGCCGAGGGGCCCGACGCCTCCCGACATCGAGCGTGCTGCAGCGACGAAGAGCTCGAGCGGAACCGCGGCCGAGGAGACAGTCCGGACAGCAGACGGCACCTTTCCCTGCGCTCTACTGATCTTGCCGGCGCTTCGAGCGCTACAACTTGCCCGTAGATGCCTAATTGCTGCTGATTGCGGCGCGAAACAAGAATACGATTGCAGAATGATGGCAAAACGGCCGGCTAGGCGGGTCGCGGCGCCACGTCGTCCCCACTTGGGACCGCTTCCATTGGCCAAGCCGCGATATGGAGGGACACCTTGCGGGATCGAGCCGCGTGTGTCCAGTTGAGCGAGTGGCCAGTCTGGCTTGTGTCCTTCCCGCGCCGGCAAGCTCGGGTATTGTGGCCGAAGTCACGGTCGAGGAACCGGAGGACCGATTTCAGCGCGAGTCGGGCCGACGCGCCCAAGCCGACGTGCTAAAGATGGGCAGACGAGCCGTACTTCAGGGGCAAGAGGTCGAGCAGGGCAACATACACCAAGCCACGGCGCGCGAAGCCTGGAGCCTGCCCTGCGGGCCCCACACGCGCTTGGCTTCAGCGTCGGTGCCGTTGCGCGGCGGCGCGGTCAAAGTGGAGGCGAAAATGGCCGGGAAAAAGGTGGGCGCCCTTGGGTGGGCGAGCTTGCTTCTAAACTCCTCACTACGACCACCACCGCCACCACCATCATCCTCGCCGCCACCCGCCACCTCTTCTTCACCGCCTGCCCTGCCGTGCGGCTTTGATCGATCGGCGAAGAGATTACGTCGCATCCTTGCTACCGCCTCTGCCAGCGAAGATCGCAGCGTGCCTCTCTTCACCTTTGAACCGCCCTCCCGTTCGCCCGTTCGCCCGCGCAGACGAGACTCGGTCCTTGGGCGGGACCAACACCCACCACCATGTCGTCGAGCAGCAGCACCAGCGCCGGCGACCTGCGCCGCTGGATCGGCGATAACAGCATCAAGTTCTTTGGCATGTCGCAGTCGTCGGTCGTCGACTTCATCCAGGTCTCGGCATCCTCAGCCTCGTCGCCCACCGACCTCTTTTCCCAGCTCCAGTCCCTCGGCCTCCCGTCGTCCCCAGAGGCTCACCGCTTCGCCACAGAGCTCTTCAACCGCGTCCCCAGGGCCAGCCAGAGCACCAAGCCCAACCCCTCGTCCTCGACGACCGGTGCCGACCAAGGTGAGGCGGCACCCAAGGGCGCAAAGAGGGAGTCCAAGAAGCGGTACGGCCTCATCATGGACGAGACGGGCAACGAGGAGATCGAGATCAAGCCCGAGCGGAAACGCAAGAAGAAGAACAGGGATGCCCAGCTGGATCCTCGCCCCGATGACGACGAGACGCGGCGCCGGTCCAGGTCGAGATCCCGCTCCAGGTCGCCCCGCCCCACCAGCGACCGCAACCGCGACCGCGACCGGGACATCGACGACGATCTGCCCGAAGATGTGCGGCGCGAGCGAGAGCGGCTGCGCGATCTGGCCGAGCGCGACGAGTTTGCGGAGCGCATGAAGAAAAAGGACTCGGAATCGACCAAGCGCTTTGTCGAGGACCGCAGCTCGTCGAAGCTCAACCCCGAGGCTGCCGCGCGCCGGCTCCTGGCCGACGATGCCGAGGCGCGCCAAAAGGCCATGCCCTCGCTGCGCGACCGCTCGCGCCAAGAGTACCTGGCCAAGCGCTCGCAGCAGCAGATTGAGCTGCTGCGCCTCGAAATCCAGGACGAGGAGCGCTTCTTCCGCGGCATGAAGATGTCGAAGCGCGAGCAGCGCGACCTCGCCTACAAGAAGGAGGTGCTCCGCCTGGCAGAGGAGCGCGCCCGCATCGACGACGGCGATCAGGGCTACGCGATGCCCGACGACTACATCACCGAGCAGGGCAAGCTCGACATGCGCAAAAAAGGAGCAGGCCCTCTACCAGCGCTACGACGACGCCCGCACCGAGCGCCACGCCCAGCAGAACCACGCCACCGACCTCGACCTCTTCGAGCGCGAGCAGATCGACCGCTCCCGCCTCGTGCTGCCCGAAGCCGCCGCCGCCGCCGCCGAGCAGCAGCGGGAAGAGGCGGCGTACGACTACGTCTTTGACGAGAGCCAGACGATCCAGTTTGTCATGGACGCCCAGATGGGAGGCAGCGGCGGCGGCTCGCTCACGCTCAAGCCCGAGGACAAGCTGCTGCAGGAGAAGATTGCCGCCGCAGAGTCGGCGGCGGCCAAGATCGAGGCGACACGCAAGTCGCTGCCCGTCTACGCGCTGCGCGAGGAGCTGCTCGACGCCATCGCCGAGCACCAGGTGCTGATCGTCGTGGGCGAGACGGGCTCGGGCAAGACGACGCAGCTGCCCCAGTTCCTGCACGAGGCCGGCTACACGCGCGGCGGCAAAAAGGTCGGGTGCACGCAGCCGCGGCGCGTGGCCGCCATGAGCGTGGCGGCGCGCGTGGCCGAGGAGATGGGCGTGCGCCTGGGCCGCGAGTGCGGCTACAGCATCCGCTTCGAGGACTGCACCTCGGACGTCACGGTGCTCAAGTACATGACCGACGGCATGCTGCTGCGCGAGTTCCTCACCGAGCCCGACCTGGGCGCCTACTCGGCCCTCATCATCGACGAGGCCCACGAGCGCACCCTCAGCACCGACGTCCTGTTCGGCCTGGTCAAGGACATTGCGCGCTTCCGCCCGGACCTCAAGCTCCTCATTTCGTCGGCCACGCTCGACGCGGAAAAGTTCAGCGAGTACTTTGACGACGCCCCCATCTTTTACGTCCCCGGCCGCCGATACCCGGTCGACATCCACTATACGCCGCAGCCCGAGGCCAACTACCTGCACGCCGCCATCACGACCGTGTTCCAGATCCACACGACGCAGCCCAAGGGCGACATCCTCGTCTTCCTGACGGGCCAGGACGAGATCGACGCGGCCATGGAGAACCTGCAGGAGACGAGCCGGGCGCTGGGCAACAAGATCCCCGAGCTCATCGTGTGCCCCATCTACGCCAACCTGCCGTCCGAGATGCAGGCCAAGATCTTTGAGCCGACGCCCGAGGGCGCGCGCAAGGTGGTGCTGGCGACCAACATTGCCGAGACGAGCATCACGATCGACGGCGTCGTCTTTGTCATTGACCCGGGCTTTGTCAAGCAGAACTCGTACAACCCAAAGACGGGCATGGCGGCGCTGACCGTGGTGCCGTGCTCGCGCGCCTCGGCCAACCAGCGCGCCGGGCGGGCGGGCCGCGTGGGGCCGGGCAAGTGCTTCCGGCTCTTCACCAAGTGGGCCTTTCAGAACGAGCTCGACGAGAACACGACGCCCGAGATCCAGCGGACCAACCTGGCCAACGTCGTGCTGCTCCTCAAGAGCCTGGGCATCAACGACCTGCTCAACTTTGACTTTCTCGACCCGCCGCCCACCGACACGCTGATGCGCTCCCTCGAGCTCCTCTACGCCCTCGGCGCGCTCAACGACAAGGGCGAGCTGACCAAGCTGGGGCGGCGCATGGCCGAGTTCCCCGTGGACCCGCAGATCTCCAAGGCCATCCTCGCCTCGGAGCAGTACGCGTGCACCGAAGAGGTGCTGTCGATTGTCTCGATCCTGCCCGAGGCCGGCTCCCTCTTTTTCCGGCCCAAGGACAAAAAGGTGCACGCCGACAACGCGCGTGCCGCCTTTTTGCCGCCGCCGCCCGCCACGGCCGGTGCGCCGTCCGGCGGCGACCACTTCCACCTGCTCAACATCTGGAACGCCTATGTCGAGTCCGGCTACGCCACCAACTGGTGCGTCGACAACTTCCTCCAGCCCAAGGTGCTGGCGCGCGTCCGCGACGTGCGCGACCAGCTGGCGGCGCTGTGCGAGCGCGTCGAAATCGTACCGGCCTCGGTCGCCGACTCGGGCGGCAGCGGCGCCGGCGGGTCGCGGGACGGCAACGAGAGGATCCAGCTCGCCATCCTCTCTGGCTACTTTATCAACACGGCGCGCCTGGCAAAGGGCGGCGAGACGTACAAGCCCATCAAGGGCACGGCCGCGGTGCACATCCACCCTTCGAGCGCGCTCTACAAGCAGATTCCGCAGCCCAACACGGTGTGCTTTTTCGAGCTGGTCGAGACGAGCAAGAGCTTCATGCGCCAGTGCATGGCCGTCCAGCCAGGGTGGCTGCTCCAGGTGGCCAAGCACTACTTTACGCCCGACGACGTCGTGGAAAAGCAAAAGGGCCCGCGCAACGTCGGCGCCCCTGCTGCAGCGGCGGCGGCGGCCGGTGCTGCGGCGAAAGAGGCGCGGGCCTAATCATCGCCGCCGCCGTCGCGGTCATCGTCGCCGAGCCCTCGCCCCTCCTCCTCCTCCTCCTTCTCCTCGCTTGGCTACCTCGACCTTCTCTTCGTGGCCGCCGCCACTGGAAAAGTAGGTGCGCCGACGCGTGACGGGTATGCCGCGGCACGAGGTGAGGTCGATCTGGGAGAGAAAGGGATGCACGCTGAGGATCTCGTCGAGCGTCGAGGCTGCGTCGGTGCGGAAAAGAGGCGGCCCGTGTCGCGTCGCATCCGAGCAGCGGAGGGGACAGACGGATGCATGGTAAGCTAGCGATCCTGAATGTCTCTTCTTCTCCTTCTCCATCGCCCCATCGTGTCATCTCCGTCGCGTAGCAGCAGCAGCTACTGCAGCAATACGAAGAGTGACCGAAACGACATACGCACCTTGGACACCGGTGTTGGCGAGGTTGAGGGACTGCAAGCGTCCACCTAGTCCTATATCGTACCACTCTACCTTTCGTAATGACCGACGAGGGGCAGCGAGCTGGACGAGGAGGAGGTCGTCGTCGAGTTTCGTATCGGACAGGTCAAGGTGGGCGAGGTAGGTGCGTCGCGTCCCGCCGGGAAGCGGGACTGTACCGCACCCGGCGTCTGTCGTCATTGCTCCCTCCCCGTCGTCGTCGTCGTCGTCGAAGGAGGAGGAGGACCCAGCCCTGGCCCTCGTCCCGTGGAGTGGGACTTCGATTGGGATTCGACGGTGCGTGGCTGGCGTCGAGGCTTGGAGTGTTCGTTGCAGGGCCGGGAGGTAGGTTAGTGTGTCGAAACGTAGGACTTTGCCGTCTAGCCGTGGTAGGCGCGAGAGGTTCAGACGCTGCTCGATGGGTGGGTGGGTGAAAGGGCGGAAGGACGGTCGAAAGGGGGTGATGTGAGCATGCCAGGGATATTCGAACTCATCGTCGTCGCCGTCGTCGCTGTCGAGCATGGGCAGACCCGTCCTGCTCCAAGCGATACGAGTAGGGGCCGAGACTGGTGCCCAGATCGTCAACTCACCTCGCAACACCCGGCCAAGAACGCGACGAGGCACGCCATAAAGGCGGTGGGGAGCATGTCGCCCATGTCATCGCGGACGAGGAGCCGTTCAATGTCGAGCCAGGCCGGCATAAACGCGACGGCGCACACAAACGACGCGATCACCTCGGTGCCCGCCAGCGAGACCGACTTGAACCCGCGACCGCGCCGATGCTTGACCAGCAGGTACAGCGGCACCAGGATGTTGACCACGTCGTCGTCGTCCCACTGCACGCCGCGTCGCCCGCTCTGAGTGCTGCTCGGATCCGGTCGTCGTAGATCCGCTAGCAGCAACGTGTGCAGCCCTACTGCCGCCGGTGGCACGGGCGGTGACGGTGTGCCGGCAGCACCGGCGGCGCCTCTCTTTCCGCTTTCGCCTTCGTGCCCGCCGTCGCCGTCGCCGTCGCCGTCCCTGTGTCCAGTGCCGTTTCCATCGCCTCTCTGCCTGGCATGGTCGGCGCCACTCTCGTCATCGAGAGGCTCCTCGTCGATCCGGCTGGGCGCGCAGAGCGAAAAGAGGAAGCTACCGAGCCCGAGCGGGGTCAGCGTCAGTCCAGAGATATTGAGCTTGATCAGGTCACATCTCGGCGGCGCTTCGCGGGCCGCCACCTCGGCCGCTTGCTGCTGCTGCTGCCTCTGCTTTTGCTGCTGCTGCTCTTGCTGCCTGCGCCCGCGTCCACGTCGCTGCGGCGGCGCAGTCGTCGATGCGCTCGCACCGCCTGCCGCGCCATCAAAGTCCACGGCCTGGGCGCTGCCCCTCCCGCCGTCGAGCAAGTCTTTGATCCACGAATCGTCCTCGAGAACGCTGCCACCAGTCAGCTCGTTTCTCATTCCCGCGCACCGCCGATGCAGCGATCGGCCGCGCGCGGCATCGAGGCCCAACGCGAACGCAAGCACGTCGAGCTCTCCGTCCGCCGAGCCGATTAGCGAGTAAGACACATCGAGGCGCTGCAGCGTGCGGGCGCAGTGTTTGAGCAGGCTGCCGAGCGCCAGGTCGCCCACCTGGGTTCGCCGCAGACGCAGGTTCGTCAGGCGCGAGAGCGGCACAAACGGCGACCGGCACGCCAGGGCGGTCTCCGAGGCGCGCTCGACGGCGGGCGGCACCGTGTCGTCGGTCTGGCGCGGAGAGCGATGCGCTGGTGTCAGCCAACGGCGGACATCCAGAATTCCAGAGTGCCGCGCCTCGTCTTCGCGCCACTCTGCGGCCGGCGCTTCACTCACCAGTCCATCGACGTCGCCGAGCTTGAGCGTCTCGATCTGTGGCGCACCGACGAGGATGGCCTCGAGGCTCTTGGCGGTGATGTCGGTGCAGTCGAGGTTGAGGTACTTGAGCGTCGAGCCGGATCCGCCGCAAAGAGCCGCGACGGCGGCGTCGCCGATGCGCACACAGCCCTTGAGCGACACGACCTCGAGCCGGAGTGGACCGCGCGATCCCGCGTCGGAGATCGCCGCCGTTGTCGTGGCGCTGCCACCTGCTCGCGTCTTGTCGGTGGCATCGAGGTGCGCAGTAAAGAGGCGGACGAGCGAAGGGTCCTTGAGGCCGGTGAGGCCGTGGAGCTGGAGCGAGGTGAGGGAAAAGGCGGCCTGGCCAAAGACGGCGGCATTCGTGAGGCTGCGGGCGGCATGGCTGGAGAGGGCGGACGCCATGGTCGAGAGGAGCATGGGAGCGTCGGATGCGCCGCCAGAGGCAAAGAGGGGCAGCGAGGCGGGCATGAGGACGTGGGTCCTGGGTGCGCGCAGCGTCGACGAGGCCGACGAGGGGGATGAGGGCGCGGTGGGGAGAAAGTAGGTGGAGACGACTGCGCGGCTGAGCATCTCGGGGCAGTGCAGGCACATGGCCTGGAAGAGGGCAAACGACGACTGCGAGGGCAGCATCTTGAGGAGGGCGGCGTTGCGGCGGGTGAGCTGCTCGAGCTCGTCGGGCAGCAGCAGCGGGGCGTCGGAAGGTACGGATGTTGATCCGCATGTGTTTGCGGACGGAGACTGTGCGGAGGGGCCTGCATCGTTGCGGGTGCGTTTGGACCTGCGAGAGGAGGTGCGTGTTGCGCCGTCGGTGGCTTTGCCGTCGGGCTCGACGTAGTCTCCGGAGTGGTCTTGGTCGAGGCGGGTTGTGGCTCCAAAGGGTCTGTTGGCATCCCTTGTGGTGCGCCTGCGCTTCTTGGGAGGGGAAGCGGACGTGGTTGCAGCGGCCGATGGGCGATGGTGGGCGTGCTTTGCTCGCTGAAAAGTGTCTTGGCTGGGCAGGATCCAGGTGGGAAAGGTGCGTGCTGCGACGGTTGCGCAGAGGGAGGCGAGGGTGGGGAGGGGCAGCGATGGCTGTCGGTTTGCGCGTGCGAGCTGCCTTAGTTGGTTGAGGTCGAGGTGGCGTATGGAGATGTTTGGGTTTCTTGCGAGGGGCAAGGGTGCGTAGAGGTTCTGTATGCGCTGTTCCTCGTGCTCGTTGAGCTCGATTCTCTGGATGCGCTGGGACGGCTTGTCTGGCTTTTGGCGGCGTGCTGATGATGCGCGGTTTGGGCGCCTCATGTTTGTTTGCCGAGTGTTTACGACGAGCAAGTGGACGGACGTGGTTGCGAGGTGGCGATGCGATGGTGGGTCGGGTCGAAGGAGAGAGGGCGCGCCTCGAAGAAGCGAGGAGGAGCGAAGGCTGCGCTCGAGCCATGGGGCGTTGCAGGGCAGCCCATTCCCGAGATCCGGTTGTGCCTGCCTGCCTTGGTCACGCCTGGTTGCTTGCTTGCGAGCTGCCTCGACCCTGAGCCCGGTTGTGGGAGAGACGCACGCGGGCCACGCCTGGCCTGGCCTAGCCTGCCGCTTTCCCCCCTCCCCCGCGGGCAGAGGCAGGCCAGGCCTGGCCAGGCCCGGCGCAGGCGTTGATGCAGGCGCGGGCAGCGGAAGCGTGGCTCGGGCAGGCGGGCGGGCGGCAGTCGGGGGGCGGGGGGTCCCTCGTCAAGCAAAGCCCCGCCCCACTTTGGCCGACAGCAGCAGCAGCAGCAGCAGCAGCAGCAGCAGCCAAGACACAAAAGCCACGGCATGGCCTGGCCTGGCATGGCATGGCCTGGCCAGCCAGCCTCTCTTTGTTTTCCAACTCGACGAAGGCCAGGCCAGGCCGACCTCCCATGACCCTGGGGCCAGTCGAGCCCAACACCCGAACACGCTGCCGCGAAGAAAGCCAAGCCAGGCCAGGTCCAAACGCTCCCTCTGGCTCGCTCGCTCGCTGCGCCCAGGCCTGCTGGGTGTCGTGCCTACCTTTCCGCCGCCACCCTCACCACCACCGCCGCTGCATCGCTTTCTAGCTCCATCGCCTCGACTGCGCTCTGCCTCTTCGCCCTGCCCGTCCAACCCGACCATGCCATCATCGCCATTCTCATAGACTCCACCCCCCTCCATCAATCCATCCATTCTGGCCCACTAGCCCCACCGACCACTCCAGCTGCTCAGTCTCTCAGTCTCTCGGCCTCACACCCCGCCCCTCGCCCCTCTAGGGAGACCGCCACCGGATACCCCCTCTACCTCCCTCCTGCGACACCCGCACCGCACCGTACCGCACCACATCGCATCATTGCTCCGTCCACATCTCCGCCATGCCGGCCGACATCACAGCCGCGGGCGCCGCCGACGCTGCGCTGACAACGTCACCACGCAAGCGCGCTCGCATCTCGCAGCCAATCGAACCCTCGCCACCCGACTACAAGCACCAACACCACGGCCAAAACGCCAGCCGTGCGCATCCCCAGCACCACCACCAGCGCCATCCCGGCAACGACGACAACGCCAACGACACCACCCCCTCCTCTTCCGACGACGACGAAGACGACGACGCCGACGCTGACGGCGATCAAGACCACGCTCGTTCCTCCAGCGCGAATCAGTCGGCCTCGGATCATCATCGCGACCCCTCGCGCCCAACAAACGACGGAACAGGAGGCGCATCAGCATCAGCGGCAGCCGCAGCAGCCGCCGATGCCCAGCAGAAAAAGATCAGCTGCCTCGTCTGCAGAGACGCAAAGGTGAGCGGGACACTCCTTTTATCCTCTCGCTCGCAGACTCGACCCCACGGCTGTCGCCAGCTAATCTCGCTCCCTTGCCCCCTGCTCCCTGCTCCCTGACCTCGACCGCCCCAGGTCAAGTGCGTGCCCACCACCGAGGGCGAACCGTGCGTCCGATGCTCTAAGCTCGGCAAGGAGTGCATCTTCCGCACCCACAAGCGCGGCAGAAAGCCCGGAAAGATGTGAGTCCCCGCCGCGCGAGCCCCCCGCGACGCAACCTGCGCCTAGAGCAAACTCACTGACATCGAGCCTCTTTATCGTCCTTACCCCCATCTCTATCGCCCTGCAAACCCCCCCTCTCTATCTGACAGCAAATCGCAGCAGATCCAACGCCGCCTCGAAATCATCGACAAGACCCTCGCCGAGATCCAGGAGCTCAACCGCGACGTCCGCGACCCGGACGCAGAGAGCCTCGTAAAGACCCTTACCTGGCAGCTCCACCGCTCCAAGTTCTTCTCAAAGGGGCAGAAGCCCCAGTACACCCGTCAGAGCCCGCAGCCAACCCGCTCCGTCTCGCACAACCCCGAATCTCGCGCCAACGACAGCAGCGCAGACGCCGCCGGCGCTGCTGCCGGCGTCGCCGTCTCCGCTGCTGACGATGCGGACGCGGCGGCCCCATCGGCAGCTGTTCGTGACGCCGACGACCGGGGCCGTCCCGTCTCGACGGCCATGAGGGCCGTGCACTCGGGATCCTCGGTCCCACGGCACCACCAACACCCTCGCTCCCAGAGCCCGGTGTCCAGATCGAAGCCCTCGCTGGACGCTGGAGCAGCCGTGGCCCGGTCAAAATCCGACTTCAACATGCTGATTGACCTCGAGGACGAGGCTTCCATCGCACGCGTGCCAGACGAGATCTACACGCTGTCCAACCCGCTCAAGCTGCTCGCGCAGGCCAGCGGCGATCCCAGGCTCAGGCCGGGGGGAGGCAGCGGAAGCGTCGCCGGTGCTGGATCCAAGAAGTCCAAATCGGCCTCGGAGCGGGCTGGCGGCGGCGCCGGCGGTGGCGATGACGACGAAGAGGACGACGGCGACGATGATGACCTGGACGAGGAGGGCAACCCGCGGACGGGCGAGGTGGTCGCAGAGACGATCGAAGAGGTTGTCGAGGCTGCCTCTGGCCGCGGCCCGCGGCGGAGGCGGGGCATGGCCTCGCGCCACGCCGGCACCGCT